GATGCTGGAGATTGGGCGTCGATTATCCGACATGGTCTGGACAAGCGTTTCGCCTAAAACATCCTGACAAAATGGGGATGTTGTAGGAGCTCGCTTACGACGTTGATCCTCAGAACGAAAGCTTTCGCCTGAGACATCCTCGGAGACATGAGATGTCGGAGATTGGGCGCCAGATATCCATCATGGTGTGGAGGAGCGTTTCGCCTGAGACATCCTCACAATAAAGAGGATGTTAGGGGATTTGTCTTACGGCGCTGGTTCTTCAAATTAAAGCTTTCGCCTGAAACATCCTCAAAAAATGAAATGTTGCAGATCGGGCGTCGGATATCCATTATGACGTGGAGGAGCGCATCGCCTGAGACATCCTCCCAATATGGCGGATTCCCGTTTGTCCTGTCAGCAGCCTCTCGGTCCCCGGCTTCACCCATCACAGGGTGCGACCCCAACAACACCTTCCACACTGCCACTGTCAAACGGAAAGACCTTACAATGACATCAACAGGAAATTGTCGCCTGAGACATCCTCAGAAAAATGAACATGTTGGAGATCGGGCGTCGGACATTCAAGATGGCGTGGAGGAGCGTTTCGTTGCAGACATCCTCACACAATGGCGTTGTTGGAAGCATTATCTTACGACGCGAATGCTCAAGCATGAGGCTTTCTCCTGAGCCATCCGCAGAACAATGAAGATGTTGGAGATCGGGCGTCGGATATCCAACATGGTATGGAGGAGCATTTCGCTTGAGACATCCTCACAAAGTGCCGTTGTTGAAAGAATTGTCGTACGAAGCGAGTTTTCAAACTTGAGGCTCTCGCCTGCGACATCCTCAGAAAAATGAGATGTTGGAGATCGGGCGTCGGATATCACACATGGTGTGGAGGAGCATTCCGCTTGAGACATCCTCGCAAATGGCGTTGTTGGAAGAGTTGTCTTACGACGCGAATTTTCAAACATGAAGCGCTCGCCTGAGACATCCTCAGAAAATTGTGATGTTGGAGATCGGGCGTCGGACATCAGACATGGCGTGGAGGAGCGGTTCGCTTGAGAAATCCTCGCAACAAGGCATTGTTGGAAAGGTGGTCTTGCGACACGAATTCTCAAACGTGAGGCTCTCGCCTGAGCCATCCGCAGAACAATGAAGATGTTGAGAGATCGGGCGTCGGGTATCCAGAATGGCGTGGGGATGCGTTACGCTTGACACATCCTCACAAAGTAAAGATGTTGGAGGAGTCGTTTTACAGCGTTGGTTCTCAAAATTGAAGCTACCGCCAGAGACATCTTCAGGAAATCGAGATGTTGGAGATCGGGCGTCGGGTATCCAGCATGGCGTAGAGGAACGTCTCGCCTGAGACATCCTCACAATATCTGGATATTGGAAGAGTTGTCTTACGACCCGAATTCTCAAATTGAAGTTTTCGCCTAATACACCCTCAGAGGTTGGAGGCCGGTCTTCGGATATTCAGCATTGCGTGTGTGGGGGGGGAGGGGCGTTTCGCCTGAGACATCCTCATACAATGGGAATGGTGGAAGAGTTGATTTACGTCATTGGTTCACCTAGTAGTGAAGCTCTCGCTTGGCACATCCCCAGGAAAACGATATGTTGTAGATCGGGCGTTGCTAGAAGACTTGTCTTACGACCCGAATTCTCAAAATGAAGCTTTCGCCTTGGACATCCTCAGAAACGTGAAAATGTTGGAGATCGGGCGTCCGACATCCAACACAGCGTGGGAGGGCGTTTCGCCTGAGACATCCTCACAAAGTGGCGATGTTGGACAAGTTGTTGTAGGACGCTTTGTTCTGAAACAAAGAAGCGCTCCCCTTTAGTCATCATCAGGAAATGAAAAGGATATCCAACATGGTGTGGAGGAGCGTTTCGCCTGAGACGCCATCGCACCATTGGGGTGCTGGCGGAGTTGTGTTACGACGTTGGTCCTCAGAAACACTTACCCGTTCGCTTAAGATGTATTTAGGAAGTTGAGATGTTGAACGTGGGCATTGGATATCAAACTCGGTGTGGCTGGACGTTTCGCTGCGGACATCCTCAGAAACATGTTCAGTAAGCTCCCGAACTCGACGCGCCTTCAAGAGCTGGGCTCTCGTCCGAGACATCCTCAGTGAGGATGTCTCGGACAAGAGCCCATGTGTGAGGATTCCTCACAAATGGAAGCGTCACCAGAGAAGTCTGACAGCAGATTACTTGACATGAACTCCTTACTAGGTTCGTGGGCCCCTCAAACTTTCAGCATCTTGACGCACATGCCTCGCAGTGCGGTGCCCGCCTACTGTGAGCCATGACGCGGGGCAATGGGGAGGCCAGGCGCCCTCCGCACATGTCAATCGCACATGCCAGACACTCTCACCAAGAAGCTTGTCGCGGGGGGGCGCAACCAGGGGCCCTCCAGAAGGGCCCCCGTGGGCCATGGGGTTCACCGAACGATTTCGGGCCAAAACCCTCCCCGGCACCTCCCCGGCACCGGCGTCAGGGTTGCCCCTCACGGCACCCCGGGCGACCCCGGCACCCGGGCGACCCCGGCACCCGGGAGCCCCCCTGGGCGACCCCGGCACCCAGGTTTCCCCTGGCACCCTCCCCCTTGGGAGCGCTGGTTCTCAAACTGCTCCTGCCCTCGCCATTCCTCCCTGTCCCGTGCCCTTCCTCCTTCTCCTCCTCCTCCTGCGCCCCTCCCTCCTCCACTTCCCCCTTCCTCCTCTCCCTCTGACGCCTCCCCCCGCCATCCCATTGTGCAAAAATATCCTGGCGAGATGATATATTGTGAATGCCGTCGTTGTGAGCATCGCCTTCGGTAAGCTCCCTGTGGAGCCACGAGCCGTGTGAGCGGTGTGCCGTAATGGAGGCGGCGGTGCCATGCGGACCCTGCCACTGGGGCTTTCGGCGGAGCTCCCTACGGGGCCACGAACCGTGCGAGCGCTGTGCCGACATGGAGGCGGCGGTGCCATGCGAACCCTGCCCTGCCACTGGGGCCTTCGGCGGAGCTCCCTATGGGGCCACGAACCGTGTGACGAGTATGCCGACATGGAGGCGGCGGTGCCATTCGAACCTGGTCACTGGGGCCTTCGGCGGAGCTCCCTGTGTGGCCACGAACTGTGAGCGGTGTGCCGAGATGGAGGCGGCGGTGTCATGCGAACCCTGCCACCAGGGCCATCGGCGGAGCTCCCTATGGAGCCACGAACCGCGTGACCGGTGTGCCGACATGGAGGCGGCGGTGCCATACGAACCCTGCCACCAGGGCCATCGGCGGAACGCCCTGTGGGGTCACGAACCGTGTGAGTGGTGCCAAAATGGGAGCGGCGGTGCCTTGCGAACCCTGCCACTGGGGCCTTCGGCGGAGCTCCCTACGGGGCCACGAAATTTGTGAGGTGTGCCGAAATGGAGGCGGCGGTGCAATGCGAACCTTGCCACTGGGGCCTTCGACGGAGCTCCCTATGGGGCCACGAACCGTGTGACGGGTGTGCCGACATGGAGGCGGCGGTGCCATGCGAACCCTGCCCTGCCACTGGGGCCTTCGGCGGAGCTCCCTATGGGGCTACGAGCCGTGTGACGGGTGTGCCGAGGTGGAGGCGGCGGTGCCATGCGGACCCTGCCACTGGGGCCTTCGGCGGCGCTCCCGATGGGGCCACGAGCCGTGTGAGCGGTGTGCCAACATGGAGGCGGCGGTGCCATGCGAACCCTGCCACTGGGGCCATCGGCGGAGCTCCTTCTGGGGCCACGAACCGTGTGACGGGTGTGCCGACATGGAAGCGGCGGTGCCATGCGAACCCTGCCACTGGGGTCTTCGGCGGAGCTCCTTCTGGGGCCACGAACCGTGTGAGCGGTGTGCCGAAATGGAGGCGGCGGTGCCATGCGAACCCTGCCATCGAGGCCATCGGGGAAGCTCCCTATGGTCCCTATGGGGCCACGAACCGTGTCAGGGGTGTGCCGAAATTTAGGCGGCGGTGCTATGTGAACCCTGCCACTGGGGCTTTCGGCGGAGCTCCCTATGGGCCCGCGAAACATTTGAGGGGTGTGCCGAAATAAGCATGCGGAAGCAGCGGCCACTTCAGGTCACGGCATCTCCGAGCCGAGAGATCCGACGACGTGTCAAGCGAAATGGGCTGGACCACCTCTCGTGTAGCGTCTGGGAGCCCAGAATTGCGAGGATGTCTCAGGAGGAGCGGGCCGGACTATCGCAGATCCGGTCTCCTCAAAACGCAAACTTGTGACGATCTATCATGCGAAACGGGCTGGACCACCTCAGCATTTGGATCATATCTCGACGCGCGGGCCTCTCGGGCGGCACTCGTTCTTACCATACCAACGCCCCCCGGCACCGGCTGGGCGACCCGGGGACGCTCCACAACAAATCCTTTATGCCACCAACAAACTAGAACCTCCCAAATGTTGGTGCTGAGCAATGAGTAGCATCCTCCTCGCGGCAACCAACAACAGGCGAAGAGGCAGAGAGGCAACCAACATAAGAAGGATAAAGCCTGCGTGTGCGCGCGCGGAGGGCTCTCTCCCTCTGCTTGCAAGCTTCGAAGAAGAAGCGGCCTCGATGGGGCATACGGTTCCTGTTCCTCCTCCTCCTGCTCCTTCTCCTCCTGCTCCTCCTCCTCCTCCTCCTCCTCATGTTCCTCCTCCTCCCGTTCCTCCTCCTCCTCCTCCTCCTGTTCCTTCTCCTCCTGCTCCTCCTCATCCTCATCTCCTCGTCCCTCTCCTCTTACAATCCACCTCATCCTCAACCTCTCTCGTCCTCCTCCTCTTCTTCCTCTTCCTCCTCGTCCTCCTCCTCATCATCTTTATGCTCCTGCTCCTGCTCCTGCTCCTCCCTCTCCTCCCTACCCAACTCCTCTTCACCCCCTCTCTTCCCCACCGACTTGTCGTACCGCCGTGTTCCTCCGACCCTCCTCCTCCTCCTCCTCCTCCTCCTCCTCCTCCGCCTCCTTCTCCTCCGACCGCCCGCCCCCCCCCCGCGCGTGCCGCCGGCTCCCGCCGCCAGCCGCCTCCAGGTAGATGAAGCGGTCAACAGGGATCTGATCCTGGCCCGCCCAGCGGCGGCAGCAACAGCAGGAGGGGGGGAGGGATCACCCCTCCAGGGACGGGCCCCGGATCGGGGCTCGAAGATCGAGCTTCGATGGTCCAGCTTGGAAGATCGAGCTCCGCCGGCAGCGCGAAGCGCAGCTGGCGGCGGCGGCTGCGCCGGAAGGACCACGACCGGCACGGAGACGGCGGCGGCGACCTGCGGCGGCACAGGCAACGAAGCGGCGGCGGCGGGGAGGGCGGCGGCACGGAGCGACGCCGACGCCGGAGACGGCGGCTTCGCTCCGTGCCGCTCGCGAGCGCACAGACGACGGCGGCGGCGGCGGAGCGGCGACGGCGGCGCGGTGGCACGGAGCGGCGACGGCGGCAGAGACAGCTGGCCGGACCGCCGCGGAGGGGCTCCTCCTCCTCCTCCTCCTCCTCCTCCTCCTCCTCCTCCTCCTCCTCCTCCTCCTCCTCCTCCCTTTCCTCCTCCCCCTCCTCCCCCTCCTCCCCCTCCTCCCCCTCCTCCCTTCCTGCAGGCCCACGGCTTGCTCCAGCGTCAGCGGGAAGTTGTCGAGCAGGCACCCGCGGGCCGCGACGTCGGCCCGCGAGAGGCGGTCCTATGAGCGAGCGCGCACGCGCGCGCGGAGGGAAGCGTTGAGAGAAAGGACTTCTGGAGAAGCGGGACCGGAAATATTTTGAACCCAGCAACCCGAAAACCACAATTTTTTAACGTTCTGGACTGGGGGTGGGAGAAGGGAGTGGTCCCCTTCTTCGTCGGGCGCTGTTCTTGAACCAACATGCGTTCGACCGGGGGAGGGTCGAACCCTAACGGGTGGATGGGCGGGCCGATCCGAACGGGCGGGTCAGGCGGACGCTTCAGTCATCGTGCTAGTCTTAGGTCGGGCATGTCCTCGTACAGCCGGGTCTTGGACGAAAAATGCAAATAGTCAAACACATGTTCGAAAGTAGTCAAACATGCTAGACATACCGTCCCCATACTATTCCTGGTTATTTTTGCATATCCCTCCTGCAGAGGGACATGCCCGACTCAACGCGAGTCGCCAGGAGGAGCGCTGGTCTTGCGGATGTCACGACAATAGACACCCGAACCGTCCTTTCATGGAATTGAACATGTGTTTAAAAGGTCGGACAAATGTCCTGGAAATGTTGAAAACCTGCTTCTTCACATGTTTAGAACAGTTTGGCTCATGTTCTAGACATCTGGACATTCTTTGGCAACCTGCTTCCTCTCCACTGATTTGGGCGCCCGAGTTATCCGGGGTAACTCGGGCCCGGGGTAATTCGGGTTCGGATTCCCGAAACACGAACCCGAGTTAGCCCTGACCCGAGCTACCCCTGATGCTTCGGGGCTCTGGACGCCCGAGTTCTCCGGGGTAACTCGGGCCCGAGGCAATTCGGGCTCGGATTCCCGAAAAACAAACCCGAGTTAGCGTACATGGACTTTATATGCGAACCCTGTGGCCCAAGATGCCCCCCCGACCCCCCGAAATTAATGTTGATGGCGTGGCGACGGGGGGGGGCGTGAGTGGACAGAAATACTCGAACCCCAAAGCACCGCCTTTACCGAGATCAACATTGATGCCGGGGGCGCGGGGGTGATGTACAATCTCCCTCGAATGTGTGAGGGCTCGAGTATATTGTCCATCTACTGTAGCCCTGACCCGAGTTACCCCGGATGATTCGGGGATCTGACTGGTCGTGCCCCACCGCGCCGGCCCAGGACCGCAGGGGCTCCCCTCTGGCCCCGGCGGGCCCCGGCCACGCACGGGCCCCCCGCCCGCGGCGCGAAGGCCAACCGCCGCTCCCCAGCCCCACAGGGGTCCCGGCTTCAGCGTCGTTGAAGGGGCCCTGGGACACACAAAGAAATATACACACACAAACAAGACCATCCCCCAGATGTTCCAATGTGTTCTGGGTTTTTTGCATCCTCCCCACTTCCCATATTTCCCCATCTTTTCTGGGGAATCGAGGATTAATTGTGTCTGTGTGCTTCTTTCCCTCCTGAGTCGTGACCGCCACGGGCGGGCGGGCGGGCGGATCCGGATGGGCGGGCGCCGACGGGCGGGACGGGCGGACTGGAAGGGAGAGGGAGAGGGGAGAACGGAGAGGAGGATCAGGACGAGCCAGAGGCGCTCGCGCCAGATCTGCCATCCCACCCTCCCGCCCATTCCTTCCCACTGCGCTGTTGCTTCTCTATCCGCCGACGCAGGTCATGCACGCCGGTCGGAAGAAGTATAGGTAAAAGCATGAAGTAGGAAGGCGGATCAAGTAGATTGGGCTCAGGCCCTCCCGGAGAGCAGCGACACACAGCAAAAGCATATCGACTCTTGAGGTAGGAAGGCGCTTGAAGTATACTAGTGTCTGGTAGCCCAAAGATATCTACTTTCAAGGACCGGCGTGTAGCGGACCTGGAACTCCAAAAGAGCACTCCGTCGTGCCATGTGCAATCGTGGAGAAAAGCGAGCTGCGCACATTCAAGGGAACAAAAAGTAACATAAACATAAAAAAAACTCGGAGGTCCGCGCGGATTTCTCAGATCGGAGGAACATTGGAGGAGAGGGGGAGGGGAGGACCATGCAGATGTACCGTCCTGAGGCCCCCTTGGGGGCCTCTTGGGCCATCGTGAGGCTGTTTCGAAGGGCTCTTGAGCTGCCTTGGTCCATCTTGGACCGTTTTGTTGTCGTTTTGGTTGTCTTGGCAGCCGTCTTGGAGGCCGCGCTGGCCAAATTCGCCAACTGTCGGCTGCGCCGCCGTCGGCCTCCCCGCGGCCGGCTTTGCCAGCGGCCGGCCTCGCCGCGGCCGGCTTCGCCAGCGGCCCTTCGTCGCCGGCGGTCGTCCTCGCGCTCGGTCGCCCTCGCCAGCGGCCGCCTGAACCCCGTCGTCGGTCTCAAGACCGTCGGGCGTGATTGGAGAGGACACGAGAGCGGACACAAGATCCTTCCGAGGGCCGCATTGCCCTAGTAATGCTCCCTCCCTCCTCCCTCCCTCCCTCCCTTCCTCCTTTGGTCTTCGGACCACAGCTCGGGGCCCAGGCGGCCGTTTGGGACAGTCGGTTCCGCCGACGGTCGTCCTCGCCGGGTCCACTCGCCTCGCTCGCTCACAGGCAAGGCCACCTGCGAGAAAAAACACACCGCACGCACCCCTTGAAAGACACGCCCCTTCTGAAATTGCATTCTGGCGGTCTTCTCTCTGCCTCCAGACGGCCAGCGTGGCCTCCAAGACGGCTACCAAGACAACCAAAACGACAACAAAACGGTCCAAGATGGACCAAGATAGCTCAAGAGCCTTCGAAACAGCCTCACGATGGCCCAAGAGGCCCCCAAGAGGGCCTCAGGACGGTACAAGATGCCCCCAAGACGGCCCAAGAGAGCTCCAAGAGGCCTTCCTGGAGAGCCAAAGATGACCGAAACAATTGATTTCCCATTGCTTGATGTATGCTGAAGGTTGTCGCATGTTCAGGTTTCCGACCGCCCAAGAAGCTCAAGAGGGCTCCAAGAGGCCTCCAAGGCAGCTCCAAGACAGCCCACGAGGCACCCAAGAGGGCCCCATGTCGGACCAGGAGGACCCAAAGATCGCCCAAAGGGCTCCCACGAGGGCCCCCAAACGGCCTTGAAGCGCTACGAGAGAGAATCAAGACGGCCCAGAGAGGCTTCTTGGGCTGCCATGGGATGTCAGAAACCCAAGCATGCCAGAACTTTAGCATCCTGCAAACACCTAAGGAAATCAATGATGTTGGCCTCCTCGGGCTCTTCTGGATGGCCTCTTGGAGACCTCGTGGGCCGTCATGGGGGGGCCCTCGATCTGTTTTGAGGCCTTCTTGGGAGCCTCATGGCCTCCAGGACTGCTATCAAGGCAGCCAAGATGACATCAATATGGCCCAAGACGGGTCAAGAGGCTCCCAAGACAACCTCAAAACAGATCAAGACGCTCCCAAGACGATCCAAGCGGGGTCCAAGAGACCCTCCTGAATAGCCCGAGGGGGCCCAACACCATGGATTGTCCTTAGGTTTTTGTTTTGAAGATTTTGAAGTTCTCGCCTGCTCCGGTTTCCGACCTCCGAAGACGGCCCAAGAAGCCTCCAAGAGGCCTCTAAGATAGCTCCAAGACAGCCCAGGAGACCCCCCAAGAGGGTCTGAGGTCGGGCCCGAAGGGTCCAAAGATCGCCCACGGGGCTCCCAAGAGGGCCCCAAGTCGGGTTCCAAGAGGGCACCATTGCGGCCTAGAGAGGCCCCTAAGGCGCATCCAAAGGCGTCAGACGGGCCAGTAGCCCCCCAAGACGGCCCAAGGGGCCCCAAGAGGCCCCCGAGAGGCCGCATGAGGCCCCCATGAAGCTTTCAGCAGGAAGCTCCCAGGATGCCTCCCAGAGGCCGCAAAAAGGCACCACAAATCCATCTCCTCCTCCTCATTTTCTCATTCTCCTCCTCCTCCTCCTCCTCCTCCTCCTCCTCCCCCTCCTCCCTACCGCGCGGACAAAGACGAAGGCGGGATCACGACCCGCCCCAATGCAGACGAATCGGAATTGCACTGTTCCTACACCCGGCCTCGTTCCTGCGGCGCTAGTCCAACCGGGCGCGGTGGCCAGGTTTGCCGCAGGCAGCTAAATACTATTTACACGGCTTCGTGGCCCTCCCACCTCTTCAGAGAAGCCCCGCCAGAGCGAGCAGGGCATTCGCATACCATCCTTTTACACAATTTCGCGCCCCTTCCACCCCTCCTGAGAGGCCCTGCCAGAGCGAGCCGTGTTTTTGGCACACCATAGTACTTTCGAAGATTTCGCATCCTTCCCACCCCTCCAGGGAGGCCCCGCCAGAGTGCGCAGGGCATTCGCACGCCACACCATTTACATGGTTTCGTGCCTCGCCCACCCCGCCAGGGAGGCCCGCCAGAGCGAGCAGGGTACTGGCACACCAAACTATTTACATGATTTCGCGCACCCCATCACCCCTCCAGGGAGGCCGCGCAGGAATCCGCATAGAAGTCTGGTCCGAAGTCGTCATCGTCGTCGTCGTCGACATCGTCGTGGTCGTCGTCGTTGTCGACGTCGTCGTCGTCGTCGTCGTCGTCGTCGCCCGTGGCTCGTCGCTCATCGTCGTCGTGCGCGCGGACGCGGCTGGAGCCTGTTGTGTAGGGGTCGATGACGTCACGTTTCGCGCCAGCGGCGTCTGGGAATGCCTGGGAATGGCGGAGGACGGGTAGCACCAGCATGTAGGTGGCGATCTGCACCACAACGCCTGTGTACACCACAGTGCCTGCGTGCACCACAGCGCCTGTGTACACCACACCGCCTATGTACACCACAGCAGCCGCGTGCAACACCGCGTCAGTTTGTGCCACCGTGCCTGCGGGCACAACAGCTGTTGTGTACACCGCAACGCCTGCGTACACCACATCAGCCGTGTGCAACACAGCACCAGTGTACACCATAATGCCTGCGTGCATTGCAGTGCCTGTGTACACGACGGCGCCTGTGTGCACCACAGCATTCGTGTGCAACACAGCACCACTGTTGTATATAGGATGTTAGAAGGAATCCTTATGACAAAATGGAGCGCTTGTGGATTCCACAGAAAGCAATACAAAGGAATCCTTATGGACA